GCGGGTTTTTATTTGTATGTAATATAGTTTTTTTAAGCTAGTTCAAATTAGTGTTTTTTAAGCTAGTTCAAAATAGTGTTAAGCTAGTTCAAATTATAAAATTTAGCTATGTTTTTTAAAATAAAAACTTATATAATTTAATATTTCAATAATAATTTTAATAATAATTTAAGATTTAAATAATACCATAATTGAATATAATATTCTGATCTTCTGCTATATGGACATTCATTTTATCAATAATTAATTTAAATTTGCACTTATTTTGGAGTTTTTATCTGTTACAGTTATCTACTAAATAAAAATTATTTATATAAAATTTGCTTTTAGGCAAATATTAAAGTTTTATTTATAGAATAAAAATAACTCAAAAAGTATATCATTAATATTATCATTGTGTAAGAATAATAAATTCCAATACTTTAAGTACTTAATAATTTGTATTGGCTTAAATATTTTAAGCCAATACAAATTATTAAGACTTAAACCAGAAAAAGGTAATCTGTCTTTCCATTTTTCATACACACAAAATAAACTATAAATACAATGATAGTATCAATACTTTTAATTAGGTTATTTATTCATCTACTATTTAGTATCATTAAAATGCAAGGTGGCAATTTGAAACACCTACTGCTAGAATGGAAATCTAAATATTGTCAATGACTAAGATTTTCCTTATTAGTAGCATAGCCTAATAGGGAAAGTTGATACTGCTATTTTAATTATACCGTTTCCTATTCATTTGAAGAGTGGGAAGATTAAAAAAAATATTTTAAATATATTAATCTGTAATAATTTTTCTCACCATATTTGGATGTTCAGTTATCTAAATGTAATGTTTTAAATATATTTAGTTACAATTGAAATCAATCTATATTTAAGAAAGGAATTTACATTTTATGATATACTTATAAGGTATAGCATAAAAATAAAATTCACTGACTAAATTAATTTGTACCATGAATTTAATTTTGATTAACTTCACAAAATAATTTTATTACAGCTTAAATTTTATGAAAAATAATAGTTTTTTGTTAATATTAAGTTTTATAAAATTAAACTTGATGGTTATTAAGCAAATTTTTGACTAGTTATTCTGTTTTAACTGAATTCTATTTAAATTAATGAAATGCTTGCAGTGACATAAAAATGGTATATTTATTTTTAAAATTTCACTGGATGAAGAAATTTTTCAATAAATAAAAAGACAGTCATTTCCAAAAATTTTTGTTAAAACTTTGGTTGATTACCTTTTATTTATGTTAAAAGGTGATCAACCAAAGTTTTAACAAAAATTTTTGGAAATGGCTGTCTTTTTATTTATTGAAATAGTATATTGTTAGAATTGTTAATTTTAGAAACATGAAATTAAAAATTTTATTCATAAGTTATTAAACTATTTTAATTTATTTACAAGTTTAAGTAAGTAGTGATTGTTTGAAGCAGGGATGAGCAACTTTTTTCTATGTAAGGGCTTCATTTCAAAACTTTTGAACTGACACGGACTGCATACAAGAGAAAAGAGGAAAAAATGCCGGTAAATCACAATTATTTATTCATGTATAATTATAAAACATAATTATTAGCATAGGTATACTTAATTTAGCTTTTAGAACTGATTTAAATGTAATATATTGAAAATATTTGGTTAAATATTAGTCACTGCTAGTTTTAAATTAGCTTCGATTTGAGTTTGTTAACCGGTTTCTTGTTTTAATTTTTACTAAATTCATTGCGGGAAAAACTATTCACATATATAAGTTGTAGAAAATAATGTTTGAATTATTGTTGCATGCTTCCTTAAGCTGGGAAATTGATATATTTATTAATATTTTATGCGATGCAGGCCGCATGCAGCCTGAGGGCCGCGGGTTGCCCATCCCTGGTTTAAAGTGTATAAATAATGCTGTAATCTTGCTTAAATGTATGTTTTATGAATATTTATGAAAAGAAATCAAATTTTAAGTTATTACAGTTTATTTAATTGAAATTAATGTATAATAATTACCAGTACAAACTAAATAGCAATACAAACATACACCCACAACTGCCATAAATGATTGGGCTAAATTTAGACAAACATTATGAAAATAATTATATATAGTACATTTAAGAAAATTCAGTGATAGAAATGAAACATCATTGGTATTCTAAATATTACACTAAGAATCTGTATTCATAAAAAATATATTTTTATGTTTTGTCTTAAGATGCTTGAAATTCAAATAGAAACATTTTAAGAAATAGTAGATAATAAATTTATTTGTTTTAAATTTAATGTAATGTTAGTATTTTTATTATCTGATTATTAAGTAACATTAATAAAATAATATTTAAATAGCAATTCAAACTTCAAATAAATAATTAACTCTGAGGGTAATATCATTCAGAAATATGACAAGTATACAGTATAGTATAATATATAAAGCTATCAAATACCACTTTAAAATGTTAATAAATAATTTAAAGCTTATATATTATTTTAATTAGATTTATATGTACATCAAATATCAGGTAGTCAAAACACAAGTAAGAAGTCAAATAAACCATACTGTAATTTTTATATTTTCCTTTTTGCAATTTTTTTTATAATAAATTATGATTTTTATTTATCAATTCACTTTTAAACTTACAAAAATATCATAATAACATGATTTGTAAATTGATCTTTTATTTTAAAACTTTAATGTATTATTTCTTATATATAATATTTTAATTTAATTTTTAAAAAATTTAAAAATTTTATAGGTGGTCTGGTTTTAATAGCAGGTACTGGATCAAATTCATTAGTAATAAATCCTGATGGAACAGTTGCCAGATGTGGTGGATGGGGACATTTGTTAGGTGATGAAGGCTCAGGTAAACATATACAGTATAGTAATTGTACCATATGTCCTTTGTTCATATTAATATTTATTGACATTATGCAAATTATTTTTTATTAAAATTACAGTATTCATAAACTAATTTATATAAATTATTTCTTGATATTTGATTACTATCAAAAGTTTATGTAAGTTTTACTTATTGGTTTGATATCAAAGATTGTCAAACTCAATGACTTTATCTTAAAGATTCAGATGAATAATTAAGTAATACAATAATATAAAATACAATTGAATCTTTTTAATTCAAGCAGCTTTGTGGGTAATCAAAAAATTTCAAATTATCCTTTTTTGAAATTTAAAATAGTTTTCTGTAAGTTCTTACTATAGTGTTTGATAATATTCCATATTCTTAATGCTATCAATTTTCTGTTTAAGTAATTACAGGAATGGAAAAGAAAGTAAACATTTTTAGATGTATACATTCCATATGTAGATATCAAAAACATAGCTAAACAACTCTGCTCTCTAACTCAAATGTCATTTAACATGTAAAATGTGACAATTTTTTTCATGCTCAGGAAATTAAAGAACAAATGCATTTCAGGGATTTCCTGAAATGTACACATATATTTACAAACCAGTCAGTCTTATGTTACTTTCTCTTTTCAAATTTCATTTTTGAAATATTAGATATTATTATATTAATCATTTAATTAGTCAAATTCTAGCTTGATCTTTCACACAATCATTGGTTATTTCATTAGATATCTTAACTTTATAAATTATTCAAATTTATACTTCAAAAAAAATAATAGTTAATTCAAATGTTTATATAATTTAAATATAGATTTTGAGGAAAATGATATTAAATTCACTTTATTTAATAATTCAATTTAACCAAGTTTAAATTAATGAGATTCAACTGCATACTAATTCTGTATACAGTAGACCCCCTATAACGCGGTAGATATGTTCCTCGTTATACGAATTTTGCGTTGTAGGAATCTTTAAATACATGAGCCAATCGCAGTCCGATATGTGTGAAGTTTACAGACTACGGCTGTTTGAAAGGTTTTCTTCCATAAAATTAATCGATTCTAGACTAATTCGACTTAACATTTCCAAAATATGTATAAGTTTTTTGGGAATAATCCATATAAACTATGCTATAAACAAAAAATTGTAGGATTACTTACTGAGTGTGCACTGTTCAACGTCGCCATTGCTTAAGCTTGTGTTCATCGTGGAGCAGCACACCAAATGGCGGCCGCGATTTCTGATAAGTTATTTTTCTGCAAAAACTTCGTTGAACTTTGGAAACATCATATAATATAATATAAATAATTTTTATGGCCGTTAAATAAGAAATGTTTCATTCACAAGAAATGTATAAAATTAGTGCTGTATTAGACTTATGGTACCTAATTTACATACTGTACAGACGATAGTAAACTCAACTTACTCGCCTAAACTCTCCGTAGCGTGGCGCTGGACGGCGGAAAGTA